TCAATTTTAAGGTTCATTTAGCGGAGGTAAATAGGTACTGACAATGATATTAAACTAGAGGCCCAGTGCATGAATTCGTGCACCAGTGGGGTCCCTCAGCCTGGCCTGTGGGGATCGGGCCAAAATCAGCTCTCCTACATCCCCTGAGGGGCCCCAGATTGCGAGAGGGTGAAGGCCAGGCCGAGGGACCCCACTGGTGCACAATTGGGGCTGGGGAGGGACTGCAGGAGGGCTCCAGGGTGTGTGTCTGGCCCACCTCGCTCAGTCCCGATCAACCGGACCCCAGTAGCAAGCTAACCTACTCATCGGAGAGTCTTCCCCCTGGTGGTCAGTGCACATCATAGCAACTGGTAGACCAGCCAAATGTCTGCCCCCTAGTGAGCGGTTGAGCAGCTTTAGCATATCATTAGCATATTATACTTTAATTGGTTGAATGGCCAACCGGATGACTGGACACTTAGCATATTAGACTTTTATTATATAGGATTTACCATAAAGCATCTATATTTAGTGGTTATTTCAGTTCTCCAAAAGTGGATTTATTTTACCTCTTTGTCTCATTGATGAGGAAGGGAGGGAAGAGAAGTAAGAAGGGACTTACCTGTTTTGATGAATTGTGATGTTTGATTTCAATGCTTTAGAAAATTGGTTTTTGCCAGCCTCTCAGTAACTGAAGTCTCTGAACTTTCAAGTAGCATGTCTTTATAAAAAGAATATATAAAATACTTAAATGAAAAAAAAAATGTTCATTGATGAGAATGTTTTTAAGCCCACACACAGTTTCAAAAAAAAAAAAAAGTTAATAGTAAATTCATACTTGGTACAGCATATAAAAGAAGAGCCAAGTGTGGGAGGCAGGCAAATTATCACAGATTTTGCGATTTTCATAAATAAAAGACTTTTTAAAAATTCATATCTGCTTTTTTCAAAAGTAACTTGATATAAATATGATGAGTTTTGTTAAAACTAGAAGGTTTAGATAAAAAATGGACTTGATGGCAAAGTTTCTTATCCAAAATCCATTCTAAATTATCTTACTTTTTTTTTCCCCACAGCTTCCTCCTACTCTGAATTTTAACAACTTAACACACAATACAATGTACAGATGATGTGTTGTGGAATCATGCACCTAAAACCTATATAGCATTGTTAACCAGTATCACCCCAATAAATTCAATAAAAAGTAAAAAAAAGAACACAACAACCAACCATAAAATGAAGTGTTTGAATATGTATGTACAGATGATATGGACTACTTAAAAATTAAAAAAAGATTCCAGATTGGTCATATATGTATGAATTCCTATGAGTTCTCTTAAATCACTATGGTTCTCTGAAGACTGTCTAGCAGTGATCACTTGGTGCAAATCTCAGATAATACGGTAACAGGAAGAAAGCTCTAGGAGAAATATACCAGAGCAAGGGTTGTAGGTGCTGGAAAGTTTTTCCATATGTACATCCTCCACCCCTTTCAGAAAAAGAAGGGATAGACTATGTAGAAATGCTTTGTAACCAATTAATGAGTCAGTGTTGTTTTGCTGACAATAAGTCATTTTGTGTCAAAATTGTGAATCTTCAGAAATAAACTCAGTTGTCCAGAAGCAGTTGGATGGCTCTGTGTGACTGAAGGGAACATAACTAGTAAAGACTATTGGAATAGTTTTCTGCTCAGAATTTCTCATTTTTGATAGGCATCATTCTGCAGAGCTTGGTGGTGAATCCATCTTATAAAACGTGAAGATTTTGCTCGCAGAGATAGAAAGAAGGGAGCTGGCCAATCATTATCTTCACTGTAATCTCACTTCCCAGCTCCAGCTCATGGATACTTCCTAAGGATTCCCTGTAGAATCCAGATGAATCTAGACAGGGTCATCTACCGAACTGTGAACACTTTAAAGGTTCAGATTGTGTTCTTAGCACAGTGCTTTGCATGGAATAAATTATATGAGAACTCAAAATGCATTGTTTTTTAAAACTTTATTTGTATAAACCTTGTTTTTATTGTTGACACTATTACAGATTTCCCTAGTTCCCCCTGCCTTTGCCCACTTCCACCCATCCCCCACCTCCCTTCCCTCTGGCCCTCACCACACTATTGTCTGTGTCTATGGGTTATTCATATCTGTTCTTTGGCTAATCTCTTCACCTTAATTTATTGTTTCAACATTTAACAGATATTTAAATGCATGTTGGTGTGATAAAGGATACTTTTATATAATGAAAGCACTATGATTTTATTTTTAGTGAACGTCTCTCAGTTCACAAAAGGCTTATAAAAGTTTCTATATTGTATTTTAAAACTAAATTTACCTCTCTTCATTCCATCACAGTCCAATGTGTATTTCATGTACTCCTTCAACTCAATGATCAAATTATACTTGTAATTTTATTAATTTTAAGTACCATGTCAAAAAGAACCATCATTTCTTTTTTAATATAAATGTGTAATAATTTTTATTTTAGTATTAAAATAAAAAGTAATACTATATTTTACTCTAAAATATATAACATTTATTATAGAAAGTACATAATTTTAATAGATTTTGTGGTATGAGGTGAAATAGCTTGCTTTTCCAAGATTATTTCCTGGTGATATATATCTTTTTTCCTTGACTGTGGTAGTGATAAGAAGGGTTGTGTTTTCTTTCTATCAGCTTATTTTAATTACTAATTGTGTAAACAATGAAAATTTTTATTTTTAGTAGGAAACTATTTCATAAGCATTAAAAGGCTTTATGATAAACTTTAAAAAGTTATTTAATGTTTATTTAACCTTTAAGAAGATTAAATTCATATCACATATATGTTTATATATATTATCCCTTCTTTTTCAAACTATTACAGACATGATTTCAGACTCTTTGGAAGCAATAATAACAGTTGTTAAATGAATAAATGAATGAGCTTCTACTTATAAGATTCTAGTCTCCTATAAAATTAATTTTATATATTCCCATTGCTGGTGAATCAGTGTCATGATCTTTGCACAATATATTTGGAAACATATTTTTGGCACTAAAAGCCTATTTCAAATGGAATTTTAAAAGTACCGATGTTAAGCTCATAAATATGGAGACTGATGGTTGCCAGAGGTGAGAGGAGTTGAGGGGCTGGGTAGAAAAGGTGAAAGGATTAGTTAGTACAACTTGGCAGCTACAAAATAATCCTTGGGATGTAAAGTACAGCATAGGGAAGATAGTCAATAATACTGTAGTAACTATGCATGGTGTCAGTTGAGTACTAGATTTATCGGGGGATCACTTCATAAATTACATAAATATCTAACCACTATGTGCTATACACCTGAAACTAATATAATGTTGAGTGTCAACTGTAATTGAATTATTAAAAACTTTTAAATAGAACCAATTTCAAATCAAATTTCAGGAGGGCATGATTATTGTAGTAGCTCAATTATTGTTTTTGAATATCTCAAAAGAAATGAAGACTGAAAAGATTAATAATAGATTATTAACCTTAAAAGGATAAAGAATTCTTTAATCTTACTGAAACAATAATAATCTTGTTTTTGTTATATAATTATTCAAATAATTTGAGATGTTAGAGCAAACCATTAGTGCTTGATAATAGGGTTCATTATGGGGAAACCCAAAGGTAAACTTGTATCCTTTGTTTTAAAAGCAAATATTTACATTATTTATGAAAAATGATATTTAAGTCCTACAAAATAGCATTATGGGAGATAGCTGATACCATGGGAGTAAATACAATTATCCAGAGAGAGAGAAGAGGGGCAGCTCCAGCGTGCTACTGAAGATTGTGGGTTTTTAAAGCACAAATATAATAAAACGAATATAAAAAGAAGTCTAGTAAGACACTGTTTGAGTGGTGATGTCAGCAAAAACAGTGGACTTCTATAAATTTTGTCCTCCATAAAAGCAGTAAGAAAACTGTCCAAAAATGTGATAACCAACTTTTTTAGAGCTCTGGCAATTAATCAGAGACTTGCAATAATCCATGAAATAGTTTAATCAAGAAAAACATCTGAATCTTGGTCAGAACAGTGGGGGTTGTTGCATTGTAACTTGCCTTATGCTTGTCCCCCCTTCTCAGGCTTCAAGGGAGCACCAATAGCCAACAATCACTATAAAAAAACAACCTGATAGCTACGAGAGGGGGCAGAATGGAGCTTGAATTCCTTTAAAGCCTCATTCTTGAAGGATTGTTATTTGACTTGTGTGGGGTTTTCTGGAAGACCTGACTTTGCATGACTACTTTTATATGACCTAACTTAGAGAGTACCCAGTGTGAAAAGCTTTTTCCTGGGAATGTTTGTCAAAAACATTTGAAGAGGCAGCTTTTTTTGACTTCACGGTTACTGGAGGGTATTGGTGTAGGCAAACAACAGACTAACTAAAAAGCTTAAAAGAAAAAGCCATGGAATAATATGTCCTTAGAGGTTTGGAAAAGTTCCACATATTCCTGGGCAACTAGAGGGTCACACACATGTGAGCATGCCCAGTGTCATAGGCTAAATTTCCAAAGTTCATATGTTGAAGTCCTAACCCCCAATACCTCAGAATGTGACTTTTTTTGGAGATAATTAAGGTAAAATGAGATCATATGGGTGATTTTTTCCCCTCAATAAAAGCCATAAGAATTTTATTGCAGATGAATTTTTGTATTTTCTTATGCCTGAATCATTAAGGATACTTTTAGCTAAAAACTGCAATTAGAAATCAAACTTGGGTACATGCAAAGTTTGAAAGCCTAATAATTTGTCTTTGTTTCCAGACTCAACAGAAAATAATATCACCTCCGACCCTTGGGCTAAAAACTTATGAAACCTTATAATACTAATCGTAAACCTAAAATACCTGCCTGTCATTATGATCACATTCATTGTATAGTAGGTAAAGCTTTCCTTTTGGTTTTCAGAAGTATTTTTGCTTAGCATATTAATTTTATATTTGTAGGTAACAATTGTTAGGAAGATTTTTTTGGTAAAATCTATGGTGTATTTTTTTTCTTATTTTTAGTTTGGTTGCAACAAAGGAAACAGATAGTGCAAGATCTAGAAGTGCTCCAATGTCACCTTCTGACTTTCTGGATAAATTAATGGGGAGGACATCAGGGTATGATGCAAGAATCAGACCCAATTTTAAAGGTAATTGTTCTGCTTTCTACTATATATTAAATGTGTTTCATTTTTTTTAATTAAAAATATATTATTTATTGATTTCAGAGAAGAAGGGAGAGGGAGAGATAGAAACATCAATGATGAGAGAGAATCATTGATCGGCATGCCCCCTACTGGGGATCCAGCCCGCAACCCTGGCATATGCCCTTACTGGAATTGAACCAGTGACCTCTTAGTTCCTGGAAAGGATGCTCAACCACTGAGCCACTCCTAGCTGGGCATGAAATGTATTTTAAGTGTGATTAAACAAGATACATTTAAAAACTGATTCTACCAAAAATTCTGAAAATATAAAATATTCTCACTAACTACAATGGAATATTCTCATTAACTAGAATAAAAGCTTCTTGGAGCTGACAATAATGCTCCCATATTTTAAATCTTCCACAGCAGGATTTTCTATATTTCAGAGAATCATATTGTTGTTGAGTTTATGTACTTGGGAAGGGTCTGGATAACTAAAGCCACTGATAACATTTAAAAAATTATTCTACCTACCAAATGTTTTACCTAAATTTATAGGAAAGAGCTTTAAGGGGTATCACATTCAAATAAAAATGAGAAATTTCAGCATTATGAGGATATTTTACAAAAGCAGTATCCTCCTATGCAAATTTGTCTTTAATAATATTACTGCTTATGCTGGCATTGTGTCATTTTCCAAAATAATTCTCTCTCTCTTTAAAAACAAAAAGAAATCTGATTTCTTCTCTCCTCTGTCTCAAACATACTCCCACTCATACCCTTCACTCTTATTTGTTTCCTCTAGATTTAAGGAGAATTGTTTAGATTTGTCCTCTAATCACTCTTGGACATGACATAGTGTCCTGGGTATTCTTTGGGAATGTTCAGGAGCATTTTAATTCTGTAATTATATTATGGTCTCTTCACAGTCTTCTTTATCCTAAACCATTTCCTTGGATGTGAAGTCATAGAGGTAGGTGGTGTCACAGGTTGCTAGGCAGATACTATTTTGTATGCTTAGTTGTTTGTTTTATTTATGAAAATAGCGAAAACCATGTACCTGAACTTGGCAAACATTAAATTGTCTAAAGATATTAGTGGTGAAAAGCAGCAACTTCTTGCCTCAACAATCCTTATGCACAGTTCTACTTCTTTGAAGTAAACACTCCAAAAGTAAAATTGGTTCATTTCTGGTGAAATATGTTTGATTGCTTTCTGGGACTTTTACACACAAGGCATTATGAGATGCCTTTGCACTAACTAGACTGCTAATTCAATGCCTCCATTCTTACATTCCACCTTTTCTGTTTCCCCTTTCTGCACAATCATCTCTTTTCTTCCTGCAGGGACAGTTATGTTAATTCATCTTAGCTCTCTTTAAGCCCCTGGTTTTCTTATAGAGCATTGAAGAAAAACATTGCATAGTTCAGGAAGGATTGAGTTGATGTGCCTGGGTGCTAAGACAGGTTTAGTCTCTCTCTCTCTCTCTCTCTCTCTCTCTCTTTCTGTGTGTGTGTGTGTGTGTGTAGGGAGGTGGTTTCCTGTTACTTCTCTCTCTGGAAAGGACTATCTGACAGAGACATCATTGCCCTGGCCAGCGCGCTGCTTTTAGTGAGTGCTGAGTGCTGACGAGGCTTTGGTCTGAGCTCCTCCAGATGCCAAAACAGAGAAGGCTTTAGGTTTGAGTATTGTCATGGAGCCTGTTTTCCCCAATCAAAAAAGTTATTTCCCCTCCTTTTTTTTTTAACTTCTTACAAACAGGAGATGACTAAGTTCTGAGGATCTGATGCACAGCACTGTGACTACAGTTAATAACACTGCATTATATACTTGCAAGTTGCTAAAAGAGGAGATTAAATGTTCTCACTACAAAAAAAAAGTAATTTTGTGCTGTGATGGAGCTGTTAGCTAATGCTGTGGTGTAATCATACTGTGATACGGAAGTGAATCAAATCAACACATTGTGTACCTTAAACTTGCACAATGTTATATGTCAATTATTTATATATATAAAAGTCAAAGTGACTGTTAGGACCAAATCACCAGAACGACCAGTCGACCGGTTGCTATGATGTGCACTTACCACCAGGGTGCAGATGCTCAATGTAGGAGCTGCCCCCTGGTGATCAGTGTGCTCCCACAGTCAACCTCCCGTGGTCCCTCCCCCTGGCTGACTGCGATTGGCCCCAATTGGGACTGGGCGAGATGGCCCCAATTGGCCCCGATCACCAGCCAGGCCGAGGGACCCCACCTGTGCATGAATTCATGCACCAGGCCTCTAGTATCTCAATAAAGTTAGAAAAAGAAGACAAAAAGTCAGCACTCGTTAACAGAACCATACTATTTCCAATCATCTTAATAAACTATGTTTGCAAAACTAAAACCAAAAAGTTATTTCCATTCCTCAAAAATGCTATAGGGCTAAACCCCAGGACTACCCATGCCCTACAGGAATATGGATGGGAGTCAGGGAGCTTCCTGAGACAGGTGCCTGTGGTTTCTCCCTACAGGCCCTTCCAGCTCCTCACTTCCTTTCCTATAGATGACCTTAAGCTTTGTGCCTCCCTGGGTCATTCTTTTTTATTATTAAATTTATTGGAGTGATAGTGGTAAATAAAATTACATAGGTCTCAAGTATACAAGTCTATGACACATTATCTGTATATTGTGTGCCCACCACCCGAAGTCAATCTTCTTCTGTCACCATATACTTGTCCCCTTTACCCTTTACTACTCCCCTTCCCCTTCCCTCAGGTAACCACTATAGTACTGTCTGTGTCTATGAGTCTCTGTTTGTTGACTTGTCTTGTTTGTTCATTTGTTACTTTCAGTCATATCCCACATATAAGTGAAATCATGCTTCTTGACTTTTTCTGTCTGCCTATTTCCACCTAAAAAAATCTGAAAACATTTATTCACAAAGATATGTGCACCTCTATGCTCACTGCGGCATTATTTATAGTAAACACGATATGGAAGCAACCTAAGTGCCTGTCAATATATCAGATAACGGAGATGTGGCACATGTATACAATGGAATGCTACACAGCCATAAGAAAGGATGGAATACTGCCATGTGTGACAACATGAATGGATGTTGAGAATATCATGCTAAGTGAAATAAGTCAGACAAAAAATAATCAAGATCCTTGGGTCATGCTTAGCCCATTAGCTCCCTTCTCCATGTAGTCCTAACCTACATTTATTTTAGGCTTTGCTCTCTTTTCTTCTTCCTTTTGTATTTTGTCATTAAGCTGAAGATGAATTTCCACCCATTCTCTTTGGTATTAGATGTTTGTTTCATTTTTATTTGGTAATAAAAAATTTTATGTCTTCAGAGAGAAAGAAAACTGTTTAATCCCCCTCTTGAAATAGAAGCGTCCAGGAGTCCTTTGGTATTAGAAGCCTATAAAAGTACATCCATAGATGATAAAATATTATTTCACAGACTACTTTACCAGATTTTTCTGAATTTTACTTCTTTCCTTTGATCCTCTTGTTTGGGTCCTCAGTTGATCTTTGATAACCCTTGAGTCTAATTTGGATCCAGGCAGAAAGTACTCAGTGGGCAATTACATGATTATGTCTTCCTCCCAAACACTGACTGCATTTTTTTTCATTCTATCTCCAGTGGCCTTTATCTAGAAATAACATTGTTTGCCTTCCGATGTCTTTGTGGTTTATGTCTTTTCATCTGTAATAGTTCTCTATATTAATCCCTTTCTCCCACATCACAAATTCTGTTTTTAAACAGCCATTTCTGCTAAAACGCATTCTATCCACAGAATGGCATGTGTACCAGTACTCATTTCCTGCCTGTATTTTTTTTCAGTGAAAGTGTTAACATTTTAACTATTTATATCTACCCAGACACTGCTATTCTTGAATATAATTCACAATTAACTTTTAAAGGCATGTCTTCAACTTGCATTTTTACATAATATATGGTCCTTTTACCAAGAAGAATCTCTAATAATAAGCCTTTCTAAAATTGTAGATGTGCACCTGGAATATTCATAGATTTAGATTCTGCTTTCTATATTTTTAGGTTTTCTTTTATTTTATTTTTAATGTATACTTTCTGTAGTAGTTACTTGTTTTTTTTTCACTTCTAAACACTCTCAAACTAACAGAAGATTTGCAAATATTGCACTTAGCTATTTTCCCCCCAAACTCCTTGAAAGTAAGTTGTTGACCTGGTGCCCCAATACTTGAGTGTATCATATAAATGAGAACATTCTCCTAAATAACCACCATCTACCCATCAAAACAAGCAAATTAACATGGATGTATTGTTACCACCTAATTTGTGGACCCCACTCAAATTTTATCAATTCTTTGAATAATGGCTTCATTGCAAATGAAACAATTTGGAAATAAAATTGATCTAGAATAAATCTTGTATTTTATTCATCATTTATCACATTGTCTCCTTTAATCTGAACCTGAAGATTATTCTTTCTATAACTGTCATGATGTAGGCACTTAAAAAATATCCCTTTACTGAACAGAATGTACCTCAGTTTGCATTAGTCTAATGTTTCCTCATGATTTGGTTTAGGTATTACATCTTGACAGACATATCACAGAAGTGATGCTATGTTCTTATCAGATGGTGGACCATCTTAATTTTTACTATGACTGGTGTTATTTACTTTGATTAATTGGTTAGGTTGATGCTTGCCAGGATATATCTTTATACATATACATATATGCACAAATACACATATATGCATACATACAAACACACATATATGCATATTCATATATATTAATTTACATCTAAATATTTATTTCTTTATTTTTTAAATATATTTTTATTAATTTCAGAGAGGAAGGGAGAGGGAGAGAGAGATAGAAACATCAATGAGAGAGAATCATTGACCGGCTGCCTCCTGCACGCCCCCTACTGGGGATTGAGCCCACAACCCAGGCATGTGCCCTTGACCGGAATCAAACCTGGGACCCTTCAGTCTGCAGGCCGACACTCTATCCACCAAACC